ATTATTATTATTATTATTATTATTATTATTATTATATTTCAGTCCATTTTTATTTTAGTTTTGTAATTTTAAAATAATGATTAATTTTCATCCAACTTGGAAAATTCAAGTTGTTTGTGAATGCCACTTGCTTGCCGATTTGATCCAATTTTTATTAAATTTAATTTCTTGGTCAACAAGTAAGCTCACAACACAAGTCTTCCACACGCATTTTTGTTGATTATATAAAACCCATAATCCATCTCGATCGTTTTTAGTTTCGAGATGGATAAATTATCGTGTTATAAGAGAGTGTTTGATCATTTTGACATGGATAGAGATGGAAAAATTTCTCCGTTCGAGGTACGGGAGTGTATAGCAGCGGTATCAGGGGAGGAAGTGTCGATGGTGGAGGCAGAGGAGGTGGTGGGCGCATTCGACATGGATGGAGACGGTGGACTCGACGTGGAGGAGTTTGAGAGGTTCGTCGACGACATAGGGGAGGAGGAGAAGGTGAAAGAGCTTAGAAAAGCTTTTAAAATGTATGAAATGGAGGGGTCGGGATTGATTACGGCGGTGAGCTTGAGGAGGACGTTGAAAAAATTAGGAGAGTTCGTAAGTTTGGAGGATTGTATGGCCATGATTGCCAAGTTTGACCTTGACGGTGACGGTGTTCTTAGTTTTGATGAATTTAAGGTTATGATGGGATGATATGATTCCAAATATTTGATTCATTAAAGTTAAAATTAAATGTTTGAATCGGTTGAACTATAGATATCACGGTCATACTTTGTTGAACTATGCTCAAATTGATTAAATATCTAATTTTAAATTAGTGTCAATTAACTAATATTTATATTCATTTACTATGTGTTTTAGTGGGCCAAAGCCCAATTTATTCATTGAAAAGCCCATATGCCACGACGATGGGGTGGACCTAATCAAATTTATTAACGATGGGCTTAGGCTGTTATAAATAGTATCAGAGTCAGATATCGAACAGTGTGCCAACGAGAACACTAGGCTCCTAAGGGGAGTAGATTGTGAAATCTCACCTCGGTTGAAAAGGGGAACAAAACATTTCTTATAAGGGTGTGAGAACTTATCACTAGTAACGTTTTAAAACTATCTGTAACGAGCCAAAACGGACAATATCTGCTAGCGATGGGCTTGGACTGTTACAAATAGTATCAAAGATAGACACTGAACAGTGTGTCAACGAGAACGCTAGACTCCTAAGATGGTGGATTGTAAAATCTCACATTCGTTGGAGAGGGGAACGAAACATTTCTTACAAGGGTACGAAAACCTCTACCTAGTAACGTTTTAAAACCATATATAAGGGGTGAAAACGGACAATATCTGCTAGCAATGAATTTAAACTGTTACACATAATCTTTTTTTTTACCCGGGCGTTATATGAAGATTTAACCTCCGACCTTAAAAAATATATTATGTATCGATTAGATTTATGTTAGGGTTATTTAGGACTTTTCACATCCAAAATATGATAGATATGAGATTAAATAAACAAATGTGACAGCTTGTGAATTATATATATTGATCGAGTCAACGATGTAAACTTCATTGAATTTTATTTATGTTTTTTTTTTTTTTTATAAAAAAAATATTTTATTAAAATAATAAGAATTTGGAACATATGAAATGAAAGATATTTTCCATATATATATATATATATAATAAATTAAAATTGTATTTTTCCACCCGTATTTATTATTTTTCCCAATTTTATTAATAAATTAAGAATTAAATTGGGTTATAATAATTTTAAAGTGTATTTAAAAAATAAAATAATATTTTAATTTAATATTTAAAAACACCCTATTGATTAATTATTAATTTATTTTAGATTGCTATTGAGACCAAGTAGCTAACTAGGTACTATCACTCCTTTTCTCCTAAGAAACTCTTAGAAGTCGGTTTGTAATCACGATAATAACTAGGGTGATATTGGTTTGTTTTTTTCTCGATGTTGTACCAAACAGCCCTTAGAAGTCGATCTTGTATTTTGCGGGTTTTGACCATGGGAAATGATGGTGAAGGTTTCGGTTTGGGGAGGAAACCAAATATATCTATTAGGGACAGGGAACTTTGAGAGATCTTAGTTTGTATCAAACGGGGGTGGACTGTGGGCCATCAAACAACTAGGTTACGAGACTCGAACGAAGGGTTTAGGGTTGTAACAGCTCAAGCCCACTGTTAACAGATATTATTATCTTTGGAGTTTCCATGTTGGGCTTTCCCTCAAAGTTTGTAAAACGTGTTTATTAGAGAAATGTTTATTGGAGCAGTATTGGCGCAAAAGTACCGATCCTTCACTTGTAATCGTTCGCAAGTTGAATTTGCTCTCTATGCGAGAGATCCCACATCAGTTGGAGAGGAGAACGTAACATTCTTTATAAGAGTGTGAAAATATTTCCCTAATAGACACGTTTTACAACCGTTGAGGGAAAACCCAAAAGAAAAACCCTAAAGAGAACAATATCTACTAGCGGTGGGCTTGAGGTGTTACAAATGGTACTAGAGCAAAACATCAAATGGCATGCCAACGAGGACGTTGAGCCTCAAAAGGGGTGGATTGTGAGATCCCATATCAATTGGATATGAGAACGAGTGCCAACGAGAACACTGGGCCCCAAAAGGGGTGTATTGTGAAATCCTATATCGATTGCATTCATTTTAAGAGTGTGGAAACCTCTCCCTCGCAGACACGTTTTAAAAATCTTGAGTAGAAATCCAAAAGAGGACCATAAGTGATTAGTGAACCACTGGTTAAAAAGCCAATTTTGAAGAGATGACTACAAATTCTATAATGACGACTAGACACTGTCTTTGACCTCAGCAAGTGACGAGCAACACTAAACTCTCCTTAATTAAAGGGATTATCCAACACATGAAACTCTCGATTTTTAAACCATATATAAAAGAAATAAATAACAAAATAAGCAAATACATAGGTAAAAATAGTATTTATAAATTTATTTTTTAAAACATCAAATAAAAAATAAAATAATTATCAAACAATGCTCTAATAATTAAAAATTTAATTTATAATTTAATCTATGTTTAATTTATAAAATTGGGTAATAAATTAATAGTAATTTAGGACTCACTTCGCTTCAACCGAACTTTTATGTCATTTTGACCCACAACAGTCACTGGACCCACAACTATTACTTAATTAATTAATTAATTATAATAATTGAAGGATTTAAATTCCAATTAAAATTTTAAATGAATTAAAATTTAATAGAAAAAATATTTATAATAATTTTATAAATAATTATTTATGGTTGAATCATATAAATGAAAAAAGAAACTTTAAATGAATATTTTAATTTTCAATTCTATCATAAATGTTTTTGAATTTTTTTTTGTTTATATTAATTAAATATTTAATATTTAATTAATCGACCGTTTTTAAATGAAAAAAGAAAATTTAAATGGATGTACTTATTAGTTATTTAAAAGTATAAATTAATTTTTATCCGAATAATAAATAAATTATTATATATATATATATATATTTTAAAAGATATTCTAAACTTATTTTAGCCCTGTCAAATCACTTTAAAAGAATATTAATAACTTATCTTATTAATTACTTTAATTTTTTAAGAATCAAATTTAAAATATTTTAATTAATATATGTTTCAAATCAATTTAATTATTCTAAAAAATATATTTTTTCTACTCAATAAATAAATAAATAAATAAATATATATATATATATATATATATTAATATAACATACCTATTGAAAAATGATAATCAATTTGGCAAAATTGAAAGTTTAGCGCAACCCGTTTCGTCCTGTGTCTTTGTTTCTATTGCATTCTATCTCATCGTATCAAATTCTTGTTCTGCGATATTTGAGAATCACCATCAATACTTCGGTGGTGTAGGTCCGGGATAATTCTTTGTTCCATCTGGGTCTATTTACAACTAGCTAATTAAGAATTCTTAGATGTACTACTAGCAAGTGCATCTTTGATGTAGTCATCGATTCTTCTGAGAGGTCATAATTACCGTGAGCAAACATATTAATGACGAAGAACACATTTTTTGCTATTCTACTAATGACGAAGCGTGGTTGAGGAAGAATTACGGACGTAAAACAAAAAAATAGATGGTTCTTAATAATTTAAAAATTAAGTTATAAAACTATATGAGTTTCTTATCTGGGTCTAGTTTGTAAAAGCGTTTTAAAATTTTAATTTTTGAGAACGTTAAAAAGAAATTGTTATTTAAAAAATTATTTTTTTATTTTTTGAATTTAGTTAGTTAATGTTTTAAAAACGGAAAAAAAACAGAGACACGTTTTTTGTAATTGGTAACTAAAAATGAAATCGGTTATCAAAATTCAAGAGTCTATTAAAGATAACAACTAACGTTTAGAAACCTATCCACTTAACTATGTTAGACACTACTTTAATAAAGCTTTATTGGTTTCACGACCAAATAATATAATTTATTAAAAATGTAACAGCATAATTAATTGAATTATATCGAGGTTAAAGATTAAATTAATAAAAATACTTGTCAACATTATATTTTGTCTGAAAAATGCCCATAAACTTTTAAATGTTTCGATAATATTCTTACTAGTTTTTATTACAAAAACACCCCAAAATTTCAAATTTTCATTAATATTTCTAATTAAAAAAATAAAAAATATTTAAATATTTTTTTATAAAAATTTAAGGATATTAAGGTTACTTTTTATATGTTTGACTAAAATCTTTTTTTTATTACTTAAAAAAATATTAATTTTAAAAGTTAATTGGTAATTTTGAAATTAAGAATATTTTTATGGTTTTTAAAAATAAACTATTAATAATTTAAGGATATTTTTAATATGTATATATATATGGCAATTATTGAAAATTTTAAAAAATTAAATATATTTTTGAGAAATATTATATTAATTTTGGTTTTCAATCCCTCTCTTTCCATTACTACAACTTTTTCAACCGTATTAATAATTTCCCTCTCTTCCTCTCTCCTAAAACCCCATTTTCTGAATTTGGTTAGGAAACAAACAACCAAATTCATCAATGGGTTCCTGTGTTTCAATCCAGAGAAATTCCGATTCCGCTCTGAAATTCAGACTCTCAATTGGGTCCAAAACGAATGAAATGGTAATTCCGCCGTCGCCGATCAAGGATAACAACGCCCTGATCAACGGCGGCGCTGGCGGTGTAGGCGGTGTTTTTGTCAAATCTCAGAGGTCTCCTTCTCAATTAGGTATTGCTCCTTTTTCTTCTTCTTGACTTCCTACAACTGTAATTCCGTTTGTTTTGTTCTTTTTCTGTTGATTGATGAACTTTGATGCTTTGAAATTAGTGCTTAGGACCATTTCGCCTACTGATCTTGTGAAGGAAAGTCATGTGCGATCTAAAGTGTTTGGTTCTTTCTTTTTCTAATTGAATATCTTATGGAATCATTGCCTTTTGGACATATTGTTTAATTGGATTGATGATGTTGATCTAGGTCCCATTTGTTTTGTATTATCTAAATCTTCAGAGATTGATGAACAGAGGAATTTTACTTTTTCCCCTTTAATTGTTTTTAATAATTGTTCATTAAAATTAGAGAAATCCTAGATTTCCTTTCTGTCTCTTGTGGCTTGATGATCAAATTTATTAGAAGGAATTGGGATTGTTCTGTGTTCTGAGATGAAGAAATCATTCCTTTGTTCAGTGGATGCTCTGTTTCCTGTGAAGTTATGTATTGTTCTTTGTGGATTGTGGTTGATTATTGAACTGCTATAAGAAAAAAAATGTCTCTTAGAGCTTTGTTACTATAGTTTTCTCGCTTTTTATACGAGAAATTATTGGAGGAAGCTGTCACAATGTGACGTTCAATTTTGGATGGTTGGATGTAGGAAAAACGCTTCAAAGATATTTCAAATCTTGTATTTAGACCCGCGGTTTTTCGAATCCTCACCTAACGATTATTAAGAGGTTGTGAGGACAATATCTTCTAGCGGTGGGCTTGAGCTGTTACAAATAGTATCAGAGCTAGATACCGAGCAGTGCGCCGACTAGGACGCTGGGCCCTGAAGGGAGGTGGATTGTGAGATCCCACATAAATTAGAGAGAGAAACGAGTGTTAGCAAGGACGCTAGGCCCCGAAGGGGGTGGATTGTGAGATCCCACATCTATTGGAAAGAGGAACGAGTGTCAGCGAGGACGTTGGACCCTGAAGAGGGGTGGATTGTGAGATCCCACATCGATTGGAGAGGGGAATGAAACATTCTTCATATGGATGTGGAAACCTTTCCCTAGCAGATGCGTTTTTAAAACCTTGAGGGGAAACTCGAAAGAGAAAGCCCAAAGAGGACAATATTTGCTAGCGGTGGGCTTAGACTGTTACACTACTAGAACTCTTTCTCGTTTTTTTTTTAATATCCATGAATGTTCGGGCCTCAACTATTCTCACAAGACAACTGTCTTATCCTAGCATGTTCGTTTGCTAAAGTAATTCGTAGGATATTAAATCCTAAGTAGATGGTCACTCCGACTTAAACTCGTTCTTTCTAAGCCCTTAACAATTTATACGACCCTTATTGATCACTAGGCCAAATCCATGGCGTTCTGTCTCATATAATATTGTTTGAATTCTTTCTTTCATGTCCGTGAATTTATTCCATATGTTTTGGGTAATTTCTTCTGTGTTGGCTGTTCTATGAAAGAAGCAAGTTGACAATAGAACTGTGCTGTTTTCATAGGTAGCAAAGATGAAGCATTTTTCGATTCCCGGGGCTGGTTGGATTCGGATTGTGAAGATGATTTCTATAGTGTCAATGGTGGTAAGTAGACATTTGAAACGTTTGTTTACTCTAATAGATCCTATCATATTAAAAATGATCTTATAGGTTTCCGAACTTTCAATTTTGTGAGCTTAAAGAATTCTTTTTATGCGAGTTGCATTTTGATCTCTTCTCCTAAAGTATTCGATTGCAATGGCTGCAGATTTCACCCCTTCGCGAGGAAACACTCCGGTACACCCCAGCTTCTCCTCCAATACTCCTTGGATCAACCAAGTTCATGTCATCGACAATCAAACTCCGATCGCCGTTCCCGAACCATCACCCACAGGCAAGAAGAAGCTAGCTGAACTATTCAGGGACAGCTCCAGAAAAGACAGTGACATACAAGCCAAACCAACTCTAAACGAACTCGCGTTGCAGTCGAATCCCGAAAAGTCTCATGTGTCGAGAACAAACTCTGTATGCAGCAGCAGCGAGAGGACCTCTAATGGAGATGTCTGGACTGAGAAGGAACGGCCAGTTGGATCTGCACAATGCTGCCTCCCTAGCTTGGGACCATGTCGTAGCTTTGGCGACCGGAGGAAGAAGGCGCGCCCAGCCATAGTTGTATAAAGCAAGGTTCGATGGTACGTGGCATACGCTGTAAATTCCCTCTGATTCTGGCGCTGTGAGTCTTCAAAACTTATGGAGCTTACATTTGTTCAGAAATGTGTAAAGCTCTGAGATATTGGCAATGGTTATATATATGTATATATGTATGTATATATATATATATATAAGAAAGGGAAAGAAAGTAATAGGATTTTTGTTGGTCTTCCTTCAGCTTAAGTTTGTATCTTAGTATGAGGAATTATAATAAACAGCCTTTGTGATTGTTAATAAAAGAAAAAAATAAGTATTTTAATTAGCCAATACGTAGAAAGTCATCGATTGAAGGTCCTGTTTTCACTGACCTTCAATCGGTCTTTCTTTGTCTAGTTAGCTCATAACCAAATGTTAGACCAGGTTGACACAAACAACCTTTTTCGTTTTGGTTCAGGAAAAGGAAATCCCAGCGACCAAGCACTTCTATCCCCAAAAGTGGAGATCGAACAACTGCCAAGTTGTCGAGGACATGCTTGAAGAGGAGGTGGATTGTGATGTCCCACATTGGTTGGGAGGAGAACAAAACACCCTTTATAAGGGTGTGAAAACCTTCTCCTACTAAACACGTTTTAGAGCCTTGAGGGGAAGCTTGAAAGGGAAAGCTGAAAGAGACAATATCTGCTTGCGGTGGATTTAGGTCGTTACAAATGGTATCAGAGCCAGCAGAGCCAGAGCCAGACACCGTACTATGTGCTAGTGAGGAGGCTGTTTCCCAAAGAGGTAGACACGAGATGGTGTGCCAGTAAGGATGCTGGGCCTCAAAGGGAGGTGGATTTGGCGAGGTCCATGTCGATTGGAGGAGAAAGGAAAGAGTGCTAACGAAGACGTTGGGCTCCAAAGGGGGTGGATTGTGATGTCCCACATTGGTTGGGGAGGAGAACAAAACTGGCAAAGTTCCATATCGATTGGAGAAATGAAAGAATGTCAATGAGGACGCTGGCCCCAAAGGAGGTGGATTGTGATGTCTCACATTGGTTGGGGAGAAGAACAAAACATGGTTTGTGGAAGGGGAAGCTCGAAAGGGAAAGCGCAAAAAGAACAGTATCGACTAACGGTGGCTCTGGGTCGTTACAAATGGTATCATTGGCGAGGAGAACAAAACATGGTTTGTGGAAGGGGAAGCTCGAAAGGGAAAGCGCAAAAAGAACAATATCGACTAACGGTGGCTCTGGGTCGTTACAAATGGTATCATTGGCGAGGAGAACAAAACATAGTTTGTGGAAGGGGAAGCTCGAAAGGGAAAGCGCAAAAAGAACAATATCGACTAACGGTGGCTCTGGGTCGTTACAAATGGTATCATTGGCGAGGAGAACAAAACATAGTTTGTGGAAGGGGAAGCTCGAAAGGGAAAGCGCAAAAAGAACAATATCGACTAACGGTGGCTCTGGGTCGTTACAAATGGTATCATTGGCGAGGAGAACAAAACATAGTTTGTGGAAGGGGAAGCTCGAAAGGGAAAGCGCAAAAAGAACAATATCGACTAACGGTGGCTCTGGGTCGTTACAAATGGTATCATTGGCGAGGAGAACAAAACATAGTTTGTGGAAGGGGAAGCTCGAAAGGGAAAGCGCAAAAAGAACAATATCGACTAACGGTGGCTCTGGGTCGTTACAAATGGTATCATTGGCGAGGAGAACAAAACATAGTTTGTGGAAGGGGAAGCTCGAAAGGGAAAGCGCAAAAAGAACAATATCGACTAACGGTGGCTCTGGGTCGTTACAAATGGTATCAGAGCCAGACACCGTACTATGTGCCAGTGAGGAGACTGTTCCCCAAAGGGGTAGACACGAGATGGTGTGCCAGTGTAAGGATGCTGGGCCTCAAAGGGAGGTGGATTTGGCGAGGTCCATGTCGATTGGAGGAGAAAGGAAAGAGTGCTAACGAAGACGTTGGGCTCCAAAGGGGGTGGATTGTGATGTCCCACATTGGTTGGGGAGGAGAACAAAACTGGCAAAGTTCCATATCGATTGGAGAAATGAAAGAATGTCAATGAGGACGCTGGCCCCAAAGGAGGTGGATTGTGATGTCTCACATTGGTTGGGGAGAAGAACAAAACATGGTTTGTGGAAGGGGAAGCTCGAAAGGGAAAGCGCAAAAAGAACAGTATCGACTAACGGTGGCTCTGGGTCGTTACAAATGGTATCATTGGCGAGGAGAACAAAACATGGTTTGTGGAAGGGGAAGCTCGAAAGGGAAAGCGCAAAAAGAACAATATCGACTAACGGTGGCTCTGGGTCGTTACAAATGGTATCATTGGCGAGGAGAACAAAACATAGTTTGTGGAAGGGGAAGCTCGAAAGGGAAAGCGCAAAAAGAACAATATCGACTAACGGTGGCTCTGGGTCGTTACAAATGGTATCAGAGCCAGACACCGTACTATGTGCCAGTGAGGAGACTGTTCCCCAAAGGGGTAGACACGAGATGGTGTGCCAGTGTAAGGATGCTGGGCCTCAAAGGGAGGTGGATTTGGCGAGGTCCATGTCGATTGGAGGAGAAAGGAAAGAGTGCTAACGAAGACGTTGGGCTCCAAAGGGGGTGGATTGTGATGTCCCACATTGGTTGGGGAGAAGAACAAAACTGGCAGGGTCCCACATCGATTGGAGAAATGAAAGAATGTCAATGAGGACGCTGGCCCCAAAGGAGGTGGATTGTGATGTCTCACATTGGTTGGGGAGAAGAACAAAACATGGTTTGTGGAAGGGGAAACTCGAAAGGGAAAGCGCAAAAAGAACAATATCGACTAACGGTGGCTCTGGGTCGTTACACGGGCGCCCTATAAGTTCACTACCCTACCCACTAATGGACTATGAGGGGGCAGGCAAACGTGGAGCTACCGAAAACCCGAACCGCTTGACTGACTGGCCCCTTATGAAAATGTAATGTAATATATATAGAGTAGGGACGAGGTGGGATGTGGAATTGGGTAAGGATGGAATAAGGGGACACAATTCTCGTCTCCAACCCCGTTTATCTAATGGGGAGAAATCTCTCTTCACCGCTTCTTCCATCCCTCGTTTAAACAGAGATTTCCTAACTCATTCAAAACGACACTGTGACCCATATCTATTCATTTTGAAATGGACATTTATGGAAGTAAATGGGAGATGGTCCACAATATTTTCCATGGAAAGAGAGAAATTTAGTGTCCATTCCCATTCCCATTCACCATTGGCCATAGTAGCGAGTGGGTTGGGGACAAAGATTTCCCCCTCAACTGTTCATAAACATAATCGAACATCTAGTCGTCGATCTACTTGACTATAAAAGTTGAGTTGAGGTCGTCTCTCCACAAAAATACGTGCAGCTTCAGAAAGAGCTATGAGTTACTATCTTCGTTGCCTCCTTCAATTTGATAGCATTCATACACCATCACTTCGGGTTCGTGTCATTGACTTTAACTATTGTGCCTCTAGGATTACGAGTCGGGAGAAGGAGGAGACGAGTGGTTCACGTTTTGGTCTAGTGCCTAGTGGTTTAGTTGAACCAATTTCATTCATTCATTTTCTTTTTGACCCGAACAACTCGAATCCTCTGTTTTCAAGTTGGATTGGGTTAAATCCAACTCGTCTAGGGTTGTAATCCTATTTAGGTAATTGTGAATGATATTTAGTACTAAATTTCACACACCATTTAGGTGTGGTGGATTATGTAAATATTCTCATGATATTAGAACTCTTTCGGTTTAACAACTCCGATCTTTTCTTTTCAATGACTTTTGAATACTCTGTTATTCTTCAGCATCACCACTGGCTTTGACGCCGTAGAGGCAGTCTCCATGGTTGCTACATGCAGAGCCGATTGATTACTCTTCGATTCCACCCTTCTGACCTCCAAATCACCCTTCGCCTACTCTGTACATATAACCTCACCTTCTCCAACACAATTGGTTTCCCCTTAGCCAACATAGCCTCTCTCATTTTCTTCCCAATCAACCCTTTATCCTTCACAGAAACCCTAATCTCAAAATCATCATTAGCGTTCTCTTCGGAAATATACGAAATCTCGATAAGCCCATCGACCTTCTATAGAGATTTACCTTCGGAATCTGGGCGCCGCATTAGCCTCTTTGACAATGAAGTCGCCGCCACCCTTCTTGCCAAAATTGGCTCATTCACCTAATGTGGCGACTCTTCCCTTCTACTTGTTGGGTTAGACATATTCTCGCTGGAGCCAAGATAGACGATCCCTCTTCATGGGTTAGACATATTCTCATCGAAGCCAAGATAGACGATCCCTCTTCATGGGTTAGACATATTCTCATCGAAGCCAAGACAACATCGCCACTGATCGACGATCCCTCTACAGTTCTCGATGGGCAAGAAAGTGTTTCTTTACGCCTCCTTCGAACCAGGTTGTTGACATCTTCACAAAAAGTGTTTCTCGACCTCTCTTTGAATTTTTCAGATCCAAGTTTCACGTTCGAACCAAATTATTACTATCTCCATATCCTCGTAATTTACCCACACCATTTAGTTGTGGTAGTTTTAACAAATAATCTCAGTAATCTTATTCTCTTCTTCAAAAATTCAATCTAACCTAAATGGAGAAAGAAAAAAAGTAACCTGCATCCAACTTTTAGGGTTCGGGTTGGGTAATCTGAGTTGATCGGGTCACACAATAATGGCATAAACATCCTTATCCACACAGAATGGGAAGCCGAATAATTAGGAGAGTGACAACTCTTGATGATTATGATGCCACAAAATGATACAAATAAAGGCTGTCCATCTTAACCGGCGAAATTTATCCATTTTCGCCTGAAAAGCTGCCACGTCCTCAACGTGGGGCCCATCCTCCACGACAAAATCTTCCTTGCTTTCACACCTTCCCTTTTGGTTTCACACTATTTTTGTTCTTTTCCTTTCACACTATAAAAACCCAACTCACACGAGAGTGAAGAACATAGTAGAACAAGTAGTGGCGGTGGAAATGACCTATTTCAGGGGGTTTTCTACGGCGGTGGCCGCGGTGGTGTTGGTGGTTCTCGGTGGTTGTTGCGGCAGAGGACATGGCGTTGTTGATGTTCCAACCGATGAAGCCGGCATCTGTTCTTCTGGTGTCACCATTCATGGTTATAAGTGTCAGGAAATTCAGGTATTATTATATTCGGTAACAGTCTCAGTCTCAGTCCACTGCTAATAGATATTGTCTTTCATATTTTTCTAACCGATGTAGGATCTCACACAATCTCCATGAAAAATCCGTTAAAAGTTTGATCGAGACGATATGTTTTAACTGACAAAACGAACTTTCAACGATATTTTACAAACCGACGTGGGCTCTCACACAATCTCCATGGAAAACCCGTTAAAAGCTTGATTGAGGTGATATGTTTTAACTGACAAAACAAACTTTCGACCATGTTTTACGTTTAACTTTTAAAAATAGAAAGCTTTAAAAGTCATGGATTCTAATTTACGGGTTTGAAATTGAAATCTATGTTTACGAACATAGCATAATTAATAGGGTATCGATTACGATCGAGCGTACGTAACTTGATTGGATAAGTTATTAATAACTCAATCTAATTTTGACCTAAATTATAGGTGCAAACAAAAGATGGATATATTTTAAGTGTACAGAGGATCCCAGAAGGTCGATATGAGAGTGACAATGGAGTAAAAAAGCAACCCGTCATCATACAACATGGCGTTCTTGTGGTATGTTTAGTTATTATTTTTAAATTTTAAAAATTTCAATAATATCTTCCTTCTTCTCGATTGAGTAGTAGACGTCGGTGGCAACAGCCTGTCGCCGACCAGCCACCACCGACATGCATGTCGGTGATAGCAATATAATTCCTTTCTCCTTCTCTACCAAAACAATGACGACCGATTTTACGCAGGACGGGATGACATGGTTGTTGAATTCCCCGGAGCAGAACCTACCGTTGATCCTCGCCGATAAGGGCTACGACGTATGGATCGCCAACACTCGAGGCACTCGCTTCAGCCGTCACCACATCTCCCTCGACCCATCCTCCTCGGCCTTTTGGAACTGGTCGTGGGACGAGCTCGTCATCTACGACCTCCCCGCCGTTTTCGACCACGTCTCCCAAGAAACCGGCCACAAGATTCACTACGTTGGCCATTCATTGGTGAATTCTTTGATCCTGATTCACTACATTTTTCATTCCGGCCGCCCCTTTTAACGTCCGTTAATTGATCGTCAGGGAACGTTAATACTAATTGCTTCACTGGCGGAGGGGAAGCTGGTGGAGCAGCTGCAGTCGGTGGCGTTTTTGAGCCCCATTGCTTATCTCAGCCACATGACCACCGTTATCGGCGCCGTGGCTGCCCGGTCGTTGTTACCTCAGGTGGGTGACTCTTGGAGTTTTATTGTGAAAATTTCCTCCGTTTCTTCACCGCCGTTACCTTTGTTTGATGCTTCTTGTAGGTTGTTACCAAAGCTTTGGGTGTTGAAGAGTTCGATCCAAAAGGGTAATTTATTCCATCCCCTCTTCTCGAGTTCTATTCCGAGTCCCATTAGCATGTCTTTTTTGGTTTTTTCCTTTCGAATTTTCCCTCGAGATTTTTAAAACAGCTTAAGGGAGAAACCGGGAATGAAAAGTTAAAAAAAGACAACATTAGGAGTGGAAAGTAAAAAAAAGACAACATTCACTCTTGGGAGTGGAAAGTTTTGGGAGTGGAAAGTTAAAAAAAGACAACATTCACTCCCGAGAGTAGAAAGTTAAAAAAAGACAACATTCACTCTCGGGAGTAGAAAGTTAAAAAAAGACAACATTCACTCTCGGGAGTGGAAAGTTAAAAAAAGACAACATTCACTCTCGGGAGTGGAAAGTTAAAAAAAGACAACATTCACTCTCGGGAGTGGAAAGTTAAAAAAAAGACAACATTCACTCCCGGGAGTGAAAAGTTAAAAAAAGACAACATTCACTTGAATAGGACTCTCTTCACTTGAATAGGACTCTCTCTATACACACACACACAAGTGTGACGGATATTGGTGAGTGGTTGAGGACAGAGATTACATTTAATCCTTCACGTTGGAGCGGTTCCCTGTAAAGTTGGGCTCCGTTGATTAAACCGACATCTCTAGAAACAAGTGCTTATTATAAATTTGTGTTAACATGGTGTGGTTGACGATAGGGTGGCCGTGGGGAACTTTCTAAAATCGTTGTGTTTTCGTCCAAGAGTCAATTGCTATGACTTATTATCTGCTTTCACGGGTACATCAATACTGTTTTTAAGATTTGTTTTTTTTTTTTAATTTTTTAATTAAAGTATTTTTTAAGCAGAGAAATTCGAACTAATTTGTGTAGGCCAAAATTGTTGTCTCAATTCATCGACCGTTGAGCTCTTTCTCAAGAACGAACCTCAGTCGACATCGACTAGGAACATGGTTCACTTATCTCAAAGTAAGTTTCACTCATTGAACCGTCTCATTAAAAAGAACTCATCAGTTATTTATTTATTAATATTCTGTTTACATCGTCAAGTTTTTTTTATTCGATAACCAGTTGCTCGATATGGAGTATTGGCGAAGTTCAACTATGAGAGAATGGATTACAACTTGAGACACTACGGAAAAATCAATCCGCCGTTGTATGACCTCTCCAAAATTCCTCGTGACGTTCCGATCTTCATAAGCTACGGGGGTCGGGACGCTCTCTCGGATCTTCGAGACGTGGGTCACCTCCTTGAAATCTTAAAGTCTCACGATGTCGACAAGCTTACTGTCCAGTACATTGAAAACTACGCCCATGCTGATTTTATCATGGGCATCAACGCCAACGACGTTGTTTACAAATATCTCATTACTTTCATTAATAAGCATGGTTCGGTCTAAACAAGATTAACGTGTAGTATAGGTTCGTGTGATTGTAGTAAGAAGGGTTCGCTTGAACCTCTGTGTTATGTTATTTTATATTTGTTCCACATAGTGTACGATTTTAATAATTTAATAGTTAATAGTTTTTAGCTTAAATATAATTCAAGTATTCTACATTTAATGGTTTAGATATTTTATTATTATAATATATTTTATTAAATTAATCCGCTCGATTCAATTAATAAAAATATTCATAAATTTTGTATTTTATCTATAAAAATATTTTAAAATACTGTTATTTTTTCGATTAGAAAGTATTATTAATTTATTTTAAAAATACTTTCAACTTTTAATATGGTTTAAAAAATAACTTATAAATTTTCGTTAATATCTTTTAAAAATATTCCTACGCTAAAAAAAAGTTTTAAAAAATATAATTGAAATTATTTATTTACCCTCGTAGATAATTATCTCTAAAGTTTTTAATTTTTTTTATTCTAAAAGTTTTTAATTTAGAAAGTTATTTAACAGTTATTTAAAATTAAATAATAATAATAATAATAAAACTTTAGAAAAATAAAAAGGTATTTTTGATACACTTTTAAAATTAAAAGGTAATATTCATTTTTTTTTGTTTTAGATATTATTAAATTTTTTGAAAATTCAAGAATATTTATATATATCTATATATATATATATATATATATATATAATATAGTTTTTGGAGTTTGACATAAAAATTTAAATAATTTTATCATGAAAAATAAAATTAGTGGTAGAAAAATAGGGAAAAAGAATTAAAAAATTTTAATTTTGGATTTAATAAATACGTGAAAAAAAAAAAAAAGAAAGACAACCTGTAATTTAACCTAATGAATCGGGTCTGGTTGGAGGAACCAATAGTCCGGTTCAGATGGGAAAAAATGGAGAACCGGTTCATCTCGGTTGTTCGACCGCCCGGCGGCATGGCTGAGGGGAAAAAGCATCAAAAGCAGCATATTCATACTCAAAATTCGTCTTTTATTTATTTAAAATCACATTATTTCAGAAACGGAAGCGTCAAATTTCTGCAGCTGTAATCGTTGTGCCAAATCCGCCGGTTTTCGCCGTTGTGTTTCCCGGCCAAATCCGCCGGTTTTCGCCGTTGTGTTTCCCGGCCAATTCCTTCGTCCGACCACCGGTAATCCTTCCGTCGACTTGTCCTCCGATCAGCAGCCATGCCGGAAGAAACCACTTCGATAGATTACGTCATGGAAGCCGCCTCCGGACCTCACTTCTCCGGCCTCCGACTCGACGGGCTTATCTCCTCTCCACCTTCTTCCTCAACTTCTTCTCCCGCTCACCGCTCTTCACTCTCCGCTTCCTCTGCACAGGTCGATGCTAACTCTCCTAAGCAGCCTTTCGTCATCGGTAATTCTTGTATCTGTTCTTGATTGCTTTGTTAGGGGATTTGGATTTTTGTGAATGATTTTATTTGATTTGATTTGATTTGTTCTCATCTTCGCGCTTGGTATTTTTCTTGATCATGCATTAGAAGTTAAAACTCATTCCGTTTGGATCGAAATTGTTATCACTGTTGGTACGGTTAATGATAGGTGTTTCTGGAGGTACTGCGTCTGGGAAGACGACGGTGTGTGATATGATTATACAGCAACTCCATGATCATAGGGTTGTGCTGGTCAATCAGGCAAGCTTCCTTTTTTCTGGATCTTGCTCTAGAATTTTCTTCCGTTTCTTGAATTTCATGGCTTCGCTATAGGACTCGTTTTACCGCGGGTTGACAGCCGAGGAACTTGAACGCGTGCACGAGTATAACTTTGATCATCCTGGTAATGAAATTAGTGAATTCAACTTGTATTTCCCTTGCTGACTTTTAGATGGAAAGCATGGAGTTCTAGTGCTGTATCACTTGTTAATATTTCTTAATTATGGGATAGCAATGTGATTGGTAACTAAGAGATGCGAGTATGCATAATAAGGAATTATGTTTACCCCAATCCAACATCTTAAGCTCTTGGATTTAGGTAGTCATTGTGCCATATAAACGGTATATACCATCTTTCTCTCTCTTTGATTAATTTCATTGAATTATCCATTAGATTCTTTTGACACCGAGCAGCTTTTGGATTGTGTCGAGAAGCTAAAGAGTGGGCAATCTTACCATGTCCCAATTTATGATTTTAAGACTCATCAACGCTGTGTAGATAGCTTTCGACAGGTGCTGATATTTCTTTCGAAATGTTCACTTGCTTTTCTGTTTTGAGGGGGTTGGATGAGGTATCTATTCGTTGCAAGTGTTTTTCGGAGAATTTAATGATCACTTCTCTCCAGGTAAATGCATCTGATGTTATCATCGTGGAAGGAATTCTTGTTTTCCATGACCAAAGAGTCCGCAATCTCATGAATATGAAGATATTTGTTGACACAGGTTCAACATTGTGCTCCCTCTATTTTCTTTACTATTGTCTTTTTTTTTTTCTTTTTTAACTCATTGTGATTTCACTTTCCCTATCAAATACTTTAGACCCTTGCAATGAGCCTTTAGTTAAATGGGCTGCCTGAGTGTGGAAAGTTTATGGAAAGCTTGCACTGTATAATGAATGAATAGGATGAGCGAAGAGCGCTGAACTCAGAACTTATGTGAATATTTTGTTGAAAGTTACTTTTATCCTGTGGAAGATTTGAGTGTTGTGAAAGGAAGGAGAAAAACATTAAACAGCTGGCCCTCTTAGGGGCTAATCTTTAGTATTTAAATTTTTATCAGACAAATGTAAAATACTCTACATATTACTTGTACTAAAGGTTCTCTACCTTCTCCTAATATTTATCCCTGCATGGTTTTAGATGCTGATGTGAGGCTTGCTCGTAGAATTAGACGTGATACCGTAGAAAGGGGCAGAGACATTAACTCCGTTCTTGAACAGGTAAACTAACATCTTTCATGAATTTGGATCCAACCTAATGAGATCTCTGATCTAAAAATGTTGAAACCTGTGTGTGTATTGAATTATTTTCACAAGTTTTCCACAACTTATTGTGATCAAAATAATCATTCCTTCTGATTATGGGAATTTTGAAATGTTCCCTAAGCTCATTAGTTGGCTGTTATGATAACTATATTGATGTAATCCCCAATCTGTTGAGGAATTCACCAACTTGAGCGATATATTGCTTCCAATGATTTACATTGCCATATCCTATGCAAGATCACAGGGTTGCCTCTATCATCTAGAGCAGTGACTATGGGGGGGTTGAATAGTTGAAGAGTTAGCAACTTTTGTTTATGTTAGGCAAGCAAGTCTTGTTGTATGCTTATAGATTTTTATAGCGGGATCAATAACACTTCAGTATGCAGCATGTGATTGCCATTCCTTTGACATTTGATTTTGAATTCATTATATACTTGGTGAAATATTTCCATTCTTGTTATTTGTGCAGTATGCGAAGTTTGTAAAACCTGCTTTTGATGATTTCATTCTGCCATCAAAGAAGTATGCTGATGTGATCATACCACGTGGAGGTGATAACCATGTTGCAATTGATTTGATTGTGCAACACATCCATACAAAGTTAGGCCAGCATGACCTATGCAAAATATACCCCAATGTTACGGTCATTCAATCAACATTTCAGGTATAACATTTTCAAATAGCAATTTGTCGTAACGTTATGTTTTCCACTTTCTCTCAACACTTTTTTACTTTCCAGAATCAATCTTCACCAGCCTGAAACTGGAAGAGATTGTGAAGACAGATAGAGTTGTGCAGTATTAGACTCGAGATTCTTAATTTTGAGAAAAAAAGTTGAAGATATGTTAACAAAGATATGATTTTATTGCTTGAGACATGAGCTTGTTGCCTTCGTCTTGTTACTGGTTGAAAGCTTGTTTTCTCATTAAGAAAAAGGGTTTACTAGAAAATCTGTATTCTATTTATGTTGTTTGTTTCAGACACGAGGCTAAAGCATACGTAGTTGTTCCTGTTCTCATTTGAGCTCTTACTCCTCTCCTCTCCATAATCTCACGTAGGTAACTGAATGTCACAGATTAGAGGCATGCATACATTAATTCGAGATCGGGACATCTCAAAGCACGATTTTGTTTTCTATTCAGACCGCCTTATACGTCTGGTACTTTCTGCTACATATATCAATTGCAAGGTCATTTATGCCAGAAAAGTTGAACAATCTCAACATTCTTATAGATTTTGTTTCTTTTAACTTTTAGGTTGTGGAGCATGGCCTTGGCCATTTGCCGTTTACTGAAAAACAAGTGGTCACTCCAACAGGTGAGTTACGGAAGTAACGAGCCTCGTGCTTACTGATATCTGTCCGTGTGATATAAACTCCTTTCTCTTGCTGAGTTTTTTTTCCTGTAATCTAAACTGATCTCACTTACCTGGTGTATGGATACTGATGAAGAATGACTGCATGCTTTTGATCTCAGCATCTGTATACACTGGGGTTGATTTCTGCAAAAAACTATGTGGGGTATCCATCGTTCGAAGGTTAGTTTGACGTGAATATATTTCATACTTGCTGTCTGAATCATGGCAACTAGAATTTGTCTGAGATGAACTTGCTGGTTGCATGTGTGTTTGTGATAAAATTTTGGACCGACTTCGAGGAAAAATGAGATATGTCAACTAAGAGTTGATGAGAAGGTTCTCATTTCTGATGGTTATCCTCAATCTAATACAGTGGTGAAAGCATGGAAAACGCATTGCGTGCATGTTGCAAAGGGATAAAAATCGGGAAGATTCTGATTCACCGTGAGGGAGATAACGGGAAGCAGGTGCAATTAAAATGTTTTTCCTGAATTGTGTTTGTTGGGGCTTGATCTTGTGCTTTCTTATATCGACGTCATAGAGTTTTCTTATAGTTTGTTCAAACTGAACAGCTGATATACGAGAAATTACCCAATGACATATCGGAGCGACATGTCCTACTCCTAGATCCTGTTCTCGCTACCGGTAACTATTTCATCATCGTCATTGCTATTAGTCTGAATTCCTATTTTTCTCATCATTAATCTGTTATACAACAATAAGTTAACCTTTAGAGTAGACAATTAGAGCATGGCTTTAAATCCAAGTTTCATTTGCATATAGATTCCCAAGTTTTGTTTAGCCTAATTAGGTGGCCATAGAATTACTGTCAACTCGGACTTACGTTTTGTTTATTTATTGTGATGTCCGTGCGTGCTCGGACCAGCTTGGCTGTACCTCAATTATTCTAACGAGACAACCGACCCTTTTTCCTATTAAAACGCATGTATTCGTGATCTTTTCAGGTAACTCAGCTAATCAAGCAATTGACCTACTCATACAGAAGGGAGTTCCAGAATCGCACATCATATTCCTCAACTTGATATCTGTGAGTTATTTTATGCTATCCAAATTGGTTGATCATAGTAACTATCAATACTGATGTCAATATATTCACTCCGTTGGAGTTCAGGCCCCGGAGGGAATTCACTGTGTTTGCAAACGATACCCGTTCTTGAAAATTGTCACTTCTGAGATCGACGATGGATTGAACGAAGAGTATCGTGTCGTACCAGGTATGGGTGAATTTGGCGATCGTTACTTTGGAACCGATGATTAGTTAGTTATGCAGCTCTAGCTGGTTGAATAGGGGAGAATAGATATATCTGTCGGAGTTCGATAAAGAAGCCTTGTTGCTGCAGATTTTCTGAATGATTCTGAATCACATTTTTTTTTAACCATAGATCAACTTTGGAACATTAGACTCAATAGGTGTGGTATTATCGTCGAGTTGTTGATGTCAACCCGACATGTTTCTATCTTACGAGTCAATAAATGGTTTAATTTCGATGAAAAGTTCAGCTACTTTGATGTTTACTGACTTGGGATGATAATGTTGTCCGTTTCGGATTTTCTATATAATTTAAATGAACTCTTTTTAATTATACTTAAGTTGTCCTAAAATAAGGTTTTAGGGGTGTTCAGCTCATAGGTTAATGTTTGCTCGGGTCGGTTCAATCTGATTCAACTCGAGCGAAATTTGGTTAAATTAGGATACATACATACATCTATTATAATTGAGAATTTATTTCTTGTTTTCAATTTGACGTATGGATGTTCAAATAGTTTGATAACCTAAATAAAGTGCACTTATATGTAATGATATTTTTAGTTACTAATGTGATATGTACGGATCCAACTCAACTCTACTAAACTAAAAAATTAAGAAAAAATGAACAACCTAGTTGACCCGACCCAACCAAACTAAAAAATAGAAGGTTAAGTTGGAACCTTATTTAGCAAAAAAAAATGAACAACCTAACTGAATTGGACCTGAAAAACAAACCTAGTTGACTCGACTGGACCTGAAAAACAAACCTAGTTGACTCGACTAGACCCAATTCAGAGGGTTAAATTAGAACCTTATTTAGTTCTTATACTTCTAAATTTAGTGAGAAAACATTTATAATAGGAACAATGTAAATAAAAAAATGACTTATTCACGACGATTTGTCGTAGTAATCTGTCCGACTTGTCGATTCAATGCACATCTTACAACCGAGCCGACCGGGTCCGAGTATCTTAACTTTTTTTATTTGTTTTTTTTTAATGGTTTTTCGAGATATTTATACGACAGAGTAATTAAAGTTATCCATCTATTCCCGCCATACCTCTCTTCACCGCTCCGGCGCGTCACCGGCCACCGGAGAGAACGATGCTTCAGTGCTACTTCACGGCTCGCTCAATTTCACCCTTCATTTCTTGTCAACTCTCTACCACCTCAGTGCGCACTCATTCTTCTCCTTCGCCGCCGTCGCCGCCACCTCTGCTGTCTTTCTCTGCGAAATCAACTCCGGACTCACTATCCTCGCCGGCGTGTGCACTCCAGTGCACTCACTTTCAATCGTATGTTCCACCTTCCATTACAGTTCCAATATCTGAATCTCATATATCGAATAACTTTTTTTTGTTACTGAATGTTTTAGGTGCTCCGGATGCACACACGAGTTCGACCTCCACCGGCCGGTCATCGTTGAGGAGGCGACTCAATTCTTCAACAATCTTGGAGTATCGGATTTTACATTTGATAGTTGCAAACTGGTTGACTTGTTTTTCCTCATAATTTTGTTCGTGTTGATAGAATTCGTTTAATCCTATTGAATAATCGTCTGGCTTTTATTTTTGGTACATGGATTTGATTTTAGTGGGGATGGAGGTGCCGTGCGAAATTAGCCGTTCGTGGCTCGTCTACAAGCCCTATGATTGGGCTTTATCAAGAGGGAACTCATAATGTCGTGGATATTCCTGATTGCAAAGGTTCCGTTTCTACTTGCCTTAGTGTTATGCTCTATTCTTCGTCTTCCATTAATTATGATTGTTTAAGTTAAACAAAAATGTTCCTGCAGCTCATCACCCTAATATAAATGCGGCAGTTCAATTGTTAAAACGAGGTGTGTTCTTTATGAAGTTCAAGTGATCTGGATGAACATTTCTTCTATTTCTAAAATTAGGGGTTCTATAATGACTGAATTATTTGCATCTTCTTTGGGGGCTATATGAAGGCATCACTGAATTAAACGTAGAGCCTTATGATGAAGATCAGGGGACTGGTGATTTGCGATATGTTCAGGTTATCATTAAAATAATCCTCAAATGAATATTGGGCAGACAATTTGTTTGTTCTTTAATGGTGATGTTAGTGATAATACTCGATGATTTTGATGCAGATGGCTGTGACGACTTATAGCACATCCCTTCCTTCCTCAGAAAGATACAAAAATGGTTACATGCTAACTAAGTTGATATTAGGATATTAGTTTACTCCATTGCTTAAGGTCTTAGAAAAGGTAGGATTGATTGAATTTATGTCTGTTTTCAGGTAAGATACAGATAGCTTTAGTTTGGAATTCAAGGAGTGAAACTTCACAGAATTCTGACAAGCTAAATGCATTAGCCAATGTGAGTTTTGAGAACCCTGCCTCCTCCCCCAAAAGGAAAAAGAAAAGATCGTTTTTGGCAAGATTTCTATTTACATTTTATTTTGGTGTACTGAACAACAGTTCTTATGGAAAAATGGTGGTGCCCGAAGTAATACTCATCTAGTTCATTCTGTGTGGGCAAATTTTCAAACATCATCTAACAATGTAAGTTTCTTCATTGTAAGAGTTGGAGTAATGAATATTTGCTTGTTTCTATCCGTCACTGCTAAGTTTGATTCATGATTTACGAAGTTTTCCTTTGTTAAATGGATACATTTCACCTGTACTGCAGGTAATATTTGGTAATAGATGGAGGCATCTTTTAGGCGAAAGAGATTTTTGGGAGCATGTTGGTGGAATAGACATTTGCCTGACACCATCAAGTTTTGGCCAAGCAAATACACAGGTTCTTAAATATTTATGTTTCAAATTTCAGAAATCATTTTATTCTTGGGAAATATATTTTATTACTTATAATTTTGGTTGGGTTTTTGACTTGTTTTGATACCATGTATGTGAGATCCCACATGATTGGAGAGAGTAACGAGTGTTAGCGAGAACGTTGGCCTCGAAGAGAGGTGTATTGTGAGATTCCACATCGATTGGAGAGGGGAACGAGTGCCAACAAGGACACTGGGCTCTGAAGGAGGGTGGATTATGAGATCCTGCATCGGTTGGAGAGGGGAACAAAACATTTTTTATAAGGGTGTGGAAACCTTTTCCTAGCAAACGCATTTTAAAAATCTTGAGGGGAAGTCCGAAAGGGAAAGCCCAAAGAGGACAATATCTGCTAGCGGTAGGCTTGAGTCGTTACAATGTATTCCTGACTCTTAATGCCTAGTTGCAGATTGCCCATCTAATCTTTTTTCTAAGAGAACTAGGGTGAATAAATAATAATAATTTAATATAGTTGCCATGCTAATAAGTAAAAACGTAGTAGTGAAGATAAAAAAAAACTATACTTCCATTCTAAAAAAAATGGTATCCCAGATTCCATCTTTACTTCCATGCTTACATTTCATGGTTCCTCTCCTCTAAAAGCTCCCAAAAGAGAGGCAAGGGTGGCATTGGTTCAAATAGATTTGGTTTTGTTCTTCAAAGGATGGCAAAGAGCCAGCTGAAGGAAGAAACCAGCCATATTACATTAGAAAGATCAAAATTATGGAGAGCATATTCCAAATTGGGAAAGAGAAAAAAGTAAAGAAAGGCAATCGCCCAGCCTTCTGCATCATTTTCATTTTGCACATAAATGGTGGCTGAGGTAGACACTGGAGTATATTTTCTGAAATCCATCAGTGTTTTCCTGGTGAATAACCCTATGATGAAGACTTGCTAATCCTTTGAAATTTTTTTAGAACTAAAAATGATTTTACTGAGATCTTTGGGTTGGGAATCTCATACTTCTGCTGGAGAAACTGCCAAAATTTTCCAATCTTCGAAGTCTAGATCTTAAAGCAGGATTAAAATTCTTAATCTCGTTCCAGCAAATCAATCCAGTCTCCAAATTTGCCAAACCTCGTAATTAGTGTTTCATGCCCATTAAACTTTTTTATTGGCATCACATCCTGATATAATCCCATTGGATCATCCAACCTATACTCTTTTCTTCCAGGCTTTTGATAGCTTGCTCCGGAAGTTGCAGAAGTATGTTCCATATGGAGCATCAGTTGCTGATTTGTATGCAGGAGCTGGTGTGATTGGATTATCATTAGCTGCCACAAGGAAATGCAGGCAAGACTAGGACAATTATGCATGCCGTGGGATTCAAAGTTTCACTGCATTTAAACATATGGAAGTTGATAACCCAATGTTACTTTTGCTTTCAGATTTGTGAAGTGTGTCGAGGTCAACAAAGAGTCTAAGCTATCATTTGAGAAAACAGTTGAACGTCTACCGGACCGAGTTGATGGCAGTATCAGTTGGCACCATGCAGACACTTCAAAAGTTAGTACTCCAGCCTTTCAGTTTTTAATTACCCATCATTTGAATTATTTTACTGATTTCATTTACTGCATACGAGACTTACACCAGTATCATAGCTATATTTTCTGCTGTATCTACTAATTGCACAGGATCCTCTTACTTGGCTTGTGGGATCAGATGTAGTTGTTGTCGATCCTCCAAGAAAAGGTTTGGATGCATCACTTGCTGATACATTGAGAGATATAGCATCACTAAAGCGTAAAGTGAAGTCATTATCTAAAAGGTTGTTTTGGATGACCTCTAAGGCTTTTAAATTTTCCTCTCCTAACATTTTAGTTCGTTGTCATTTGAATTCCAAATTCTCCAGCCCACATTTGACGGATAAGAAAGATGAAAAAAGGCCATGGGTTTTACGTGCCAAGGAAGAAACAGTCCAAATTGGGAGTACAGCTTTGGAACCAAATCATTCACTGCCTCAGACTCTTATTTATATAAGTTGTGGATGGGAAAGCTTCAAGGAGGTAAGTTTTTCGTAAAGCTGCCTCTAAATTCCATCAAATTCGACTGTATTCCTGCTCTCCTTCCATGATCTCAAAGGGAAATTTGCATGTACTTTTTACAATGTGTGTGCATTATATATACTATGGCTATGTTTTTCTCTGTATAGGATTGCAAGATGTTACTGTCTAGCAATGCGTGGCATTTGGCGAAGGCCCATGGTTTTAATTTCTTTCCTGGCACCCAGAGGTAATGATCTTATTTTCTTTCTGTTAGATTCTTGTAGGTAAAATCATAATTAGGCACTAGAGATAAATCACGATATTTATCCTAGTCACATTCGATTGTAGTCCCTATACTTTCAATAAATCTTAAAATCATACCTTATCACTAGTTTGAAGTTAGTTCTGATCAAACATGATAAATTGAATATAATAATTTTCATTCAAAAAAGATACAATGTACATATCTTTCTAAAATTTATCGACAAAAAAGAGTATCCCTATTTTCAGGCCAT